GGAAATCCCCTGCTGAATTGAATGCTCTAATTATGAAAGATGGCCCAGATGACGTCTTGTGGAATAATGGCAGGTCTTTGTTATTTATGTCTTGCTGAAATTTCCAATATTCTGGAGGACAGCGTATATATATATATTATTTGGGCTAAATACTGATGACATTTGGGCAATTGCTTTGTACCCCACTCTCTTTTTAAATATTTATTTATATTTGTAGTTGGACACAATACCTCTATTTCACTTATTTATTTTTACGTGGTGCTGAGGATCGAACCCAGGGTCTTGCACGTGTGAGGCGGGCGCTCTACCGCTGAGCCACAACCCCAGCCCCTCCACTCTCTTTTGACGTGGCTCTTGAGAAGTGGGCTGCTCCATCAATTCTAAAATAAACACACAACCCAGACCTGACCTATTACCATTTTGTCCCTTTGGTCACAGCAATCGGTTCAAGGAAAGAACCATGGCCTGTGTATGTCAAATGCAAGTTTATTCAATAATTTGGGGTTTGGGAATAATTTTAAGTGAAGCCCTCCCTTTCTTTTGGGATACTAAGGCATAGGATCTGGGACCTCTAGTATCTAGTCAACACACTGTAGGGCGAGAGTGTCTGGGGCTGGAGATAACATAAAGGAAAGCACAGGAGAGTAGTGGGTATCAGAGTTCTTTTGAGTCCCTGGATCCCCAAGCTCCCTGCATACCTATAGCTAGAGACCCGTGGATTTCTCAGTCACATGAGCCTGAGTATTTATTTATTTCTTAATCCAAGATGCATTTTTTTTTTGCTACTTGTAGACAAGATTCCTAATACAATATTTATTATTTTGTGTGTAAATACAATAAAAATGCATTTAATCCTGTTATTAAAAAGAACAAAAGACAGTGGTCAGATTCCCGAAGGCACGCCGTCAGCTAGCAGAGTTGACGGACAACAGCGCGTGTCAAATCAACACCTTGCAGGTCTGGCTGGAGGCAGGAGCAAGGCTGGGAAGATTTCTCCCCGTTTGTTCCTGGAGGAGGCCAGGGAGCGTTTGAACAATTGGGTCTGTCTCACTCCACCTCCTGCTCCCTGCAGCTTCCAGCCGGGCACAATGGCACAATGAGGCTCCTTCAGCCCGCAGCCTGCAGTTAGAGCACGTGTCGCAGGAATCCTGATGATCCAGGTCCTTCTCCACCCTGGGCTGGTCCTGCCTTGGGACAGATGGAGCTGGAACGGCTCCTGAGTTTGCTAGGAGGTGGTGATGACTAAGGGAGGCAGAGCTGGGCCAGGCAGGAGGGGTTCCTGGGCACCCACCCTGGGGGTTGCAGAGCCTGCCCCTTCATGTGGCTGCTTCAGGGGAGGAGGCAGAGGACAGAGCCAGAGAGACAGATGCACCTCGAGGGCGTCTCCTTGAGGGTCAGTTCACTGTGGTATGTCCGGTTGCTTTGAGGGTCCACGTGATGCTTACGTTGCCATCACTTTATTTTTTTTTTTAATTCTAATTTGTTATGTGTGACAGCTGAATGCAATTCCATTCACAGTACACATCTAGAGCACAATTTTTCAAGTCTCTGGTTGTACACAAAGAAGAGTCACACCATTGGCCTCTCCATGCATGTACTGAGGGTAATGATGTCCATCTCGTTCCAACGTCTTTCCTACCCCCCTTCCCCTCCCTCCCCTCTGCCCTGTCTAGAGTTCGTCCATTCCTCCCATGCTCCACCCCCATCCCCACTACGAGTCAGCCTCCTGATATCAGAGAAAACATTCGGCATTTGGTTTTCTGGGATGGGCTGACTTCACTTAGCATTATCTTCTCCAACGCCGTCCATTTACCTGCAAATGCCATGATTTTATTCTCTTTTAATGCTGAGTAATATTCCATTGTGTAGATATGCACCACATTTTCTTTATCCATTCAATCATTTTCTTTCTTTTCCGAGGATTTTTTAAAAATCATGCACAAAAGACATATTTGTGGTCTTAAAAAATAGGGACTCACACACACACCGCCGTCTGTGCCATCGCTCATGAGAAACAGCCCTTTGCCAGTCAGTCTTCCAAATGTCCTGGGTGCCCCTGACCACCTCTTTCCCCTGACCATGCCAGTGACCATCTCTTTCCCCTGACCATCCCGTAGCTCCCACGATCCTAACTTCTATGATCGGTGCATCTTGTTTTTCTTTATAGTTTCACCTATTGCTTTTCTTTAAATTGACTCACTCTTCCCATTTAAGTACTGTTTTGGAATGCTTTTCTTTTGGAAATGGAACCTCTCTGTGTGGCCCAGGCTGGTCTTGACATTCTGACTTAAGGAATCCTCCTGCCTCATCCTCCTGGTTGGCTGGGACTGCAGATATGCACCACCAGGCCCAGCTTGGAAACTTTTTTTAACAGAGATACAATTCATACAACGTAAAATTGACCATGTTAGAGTGTAATGTTGAATGGCATTTAGTACATTCACAGTACTATAGGAGCACTATCTGGACCTAGTTCCAAAACACAAACCACCCTCAAATGGAAACCATACCTATCAAGCAATCAACACCTATTTTCCCTGCTTCCAGCCCTAAATATCTGCGTTCTGTCTCTATAGATTTGCCTATGTTGGGACTTTCAAATGGAATCACACAGTGCATGGCCTTTTTTGTCAGCTGGGTTCTTTCATTTAGCATAATAATGTTTTGGAGGTTCATCTATGTCAGTACTTTGTTCCTTTTGATGGCTGAGTAGTATTCTATCAGAAACTTATTCTGAAAGAAAACATTCTAGCTGGATGCAGCGGCCCTCGCCTGTAATCCTGGACTGGGCCTCTGGTTTTGCACGGTGGAAAACAGAAAGGTTTGCTTATTCTGTCAATGATTTGTAGTACTCCAACTTGCTGGGTAAGGGAAACCTAGAGTAAGACTTATTTTTTTAATTATTTTTAAAAAATATTTATTTTTTCATTGGACACATATCTTTATTTATTTTTATGTGGTGCTGAGGATGGAACCCAGGGCGTCGCACATGCTAGGCGAGTGCTCTACTGCTGAGCCACAACCCCAGCCCTGTAGTAGGGTTTTTATTTATTTATTTTCTCCCTCTAATGCTAAGGATCAAATCCAAGTCTTGGTGCATGCTAGGCAACAGCTTTAGTATGGAGATATCCCCCCAGCCAAGGGAACACTGTATACAGAGATGGCGATGTTTGTACCTGGTCTTGAAGGATAAGTGAGTGAGCGGAGAATGAGTGGAGGGGGAAGAGGCCAGAGTGTGGCATGGCAGTCAAGCTGGTGTGTGACCTAGGATGGCCGTCGTAGGGTGAGTCCATGCACTTAAGGAATACGGTGAGCGCTTTATAGGGAAGACATCAAGCAAGAAGTGTGGCGGTCCAGTCTGTCCTTTGGCAACGTGCTCCTGATGTGGCCTGAAGAGGGGGTGGGAGGAAGGAGGCTGAGAGGCTAAGAGGCTGGGAGATTCCTGAGCAGGGGGCAGCCTCATGTTGCTTGGTCTTTCACCCAGGTGCTTTCTCGTGCTTCAGCTGCTTCTTAAACACTGGGGTCCCGCGGTCTCCATTCTCAACTCTCCTCTTCCGACCTGACTATAATCCGCACCTTGACTTGCACTACCTTCATGCCCTGACCTCTCTCCCGAGTTTTCAACCCCAGGAGAGAGGTTGGCGTCTTTATCCAATATTCCCTGGGGGGGGGGCAGTTCCCAGGGAGCAGGTTGAGTTGGAAATGCCTCTGACTCACCAGGGAGATGGTCTACAGGGGCCTGAAAGGGGGGAAAGTCTGAGGCCATTAGTTCGGATTGTTTGAGAAAACCAGGGCTGTGTAAAGAACCAAAAAAAAACCCAAACTGGTACCAAAAAAAAAAACCCAAACAAAACCAAACCAAAGCCCAAGCTGTCGAGTTACCTGAGCTGATGTGTGTGGAGTGATACAGTAGAATCCTCAGCAAACAATAAGAACCCAATAAATATGCCCTTTTATTGTTTTTATTAGCTCTACAAACTTTTCCTAGATGCCAACAGTCTGTACCAGTCTGGAGGCAAAGAGATACAACCCCACTCCTGTCCTCCCGGAGCACGTGGTCTCTGAGGAAGACCTCCAAGTGGATACAAATAGTGTATCGGGGGTGAAAATTCTAAATTCACCACCTTTGGAGGGTGAAGAGTGACTCTGCAGAGTGATAACATCTGCCTCTGGCCTGGACGGTCGAGGGGAGGAGAAAGGGCAGGAACGCAGCCGGCTGGAGCCAGGGGGGTGTCCCCACCCCTGTGCTAAGGGACAGCCGAACCAGATGCTGACAGCCCTACCTTGGACACGCCCAGCAGCAAACCCAGCCTTGCTGGAAGCGTTCCCATGGGTGACATCATGCCCAGGCTGGTCAATTCCACGAATCTGAGGGCACAGCTAACCCCTCTGCTGGCCCCGGGGGGTGGAGGAGGAAGCTCCTCTCTGGGTAGCACCCAGGTGAGCATCCACTGCAAGTTCCCTGTCGGCACCGGCTGCGGCCACTCCTGCCCAGCCTGGACAGGAGCCAGCCGGCCGGGAACCCTCTGTCATCTGGTGCTGACCTGCATCAGCCCCTGGCTTCTGAGCCCCCTCCTCTAGGGAGCGCTCTCCAGCCCAGGGTCACCATGACCTGCTCTCTGCTGACCGGCTTGACTCCTGACCACGGGATCTGGTGCACCCTGGCTGGTTGGGTTCCTGGCCAAGGTTACCTCCCTGAGGGCCAGGGGAACACCACATGGAGCAGAGGTTGCTACTGCAGTCACAGGCCTGGGGGTGGCTGGACCAGGAGTCCCCGGGGGCCTCACAGCTGCCCTTCCACAAAGACTCAGGATGCACTAGCAGCCATCCCTGTGTGCTGATCAGTCCTGAAACCAGTCCTCCATTCATGGATGAAGGACCCCCTTCTGCCTGAAGAAATGCTGTAGACTCGGCTGGCTTTGCGGGTTCGCGACGTAACCCCTGAGCTCTGCCGTGGGAACCCACACGCTGGCCATAAGCAACGTGTAAGCGAACAGGTGTGGCTGTGTGCCAATAAAACTTTATTTATGGACACTGAGATTCGAATCTCACATCACTGTCACGAGAAACCCAATCTTCTTCTTTTGATATATATATATTTTTTTCCCAGCTCTTTGAAAAGTAAAAACAAGAGCCACGCATTCTCGGTTCATGAGCCAAACCAGGATTTGGCCTTCGGGGTGGAGTCCTGCTGTCCTCTTGGATAATTTATGGAAAGGCTGAGAACAGTGCCCGGCCTCCTGTTCCCGGGCCGACTCTGCAGCTGGAGGGTGGGAATACAAGCCATCCAGTGGCTGGCAAGACATGGGAGGTGGCATTGGTCATTCTGGCCCAGGGTGGTGCTGAGTCAGTCCAAAGCAAGAGCAGCTGAAGAAGGTTCAGGACACCACAGGACAGCAGTGGCCAGCTCTGCCCTTTAACTAGCCCTTCTCTGTCTGGGAAGGGCCCTGGGACCTGCCTTAGCTGCCCAGAGCAAGGCCCCAGCCCGAACCCCAGAGCAGATCATCCTACCACACCCTCCACTGCACCCCTCCCTACACACACTCCCAGGGCGGGGGCCAGCTCTCTGTCCTGGGGCCCAGAGGACACCCTGCCCCAGTGTTGGTGACCGAGGATCACGTATTTGCCAACAGCCCGACTCCAGGACTGGTGCGTCCTCCTGTGTTGGGTCATTGATCGGGAGCCGTCCAGCCTTGCTACCTAAGGTTAGATCCTCAGGCCCCAGCGCAGGACAGGGGAGCAGATGAACCCTGGGCTTGGGGCTTAAAGGTGTCCTTCTCTCTCAAGATCCGGTGAAGAGCTCCCTTCTGGCCTTCCCCTGGGCCAGCACGGTATCCCCTGCCCTGTCTCTTGGTCCGGGCGTGGGATCTAGCCCATCCTGGCTGGTAGTGTTACCGGGCAGGGTCCAGCAGGTCCTCCGGCACCTGCCCCAGCCCTCTCTTATTCTCAGAAGGCTTCCAGTCAGCGTCTCAAAAGCCCAGAGCGGGGGAGCAGGAGGGCCCCCTCTGTGTCTGGGGGACAGGGACTACGTCCTCACGCCACCACTAGCTCTTTCTTCCCATCCCCGCCTCAGGGCTCCTCAGGCACCTCCGTGTCCGACAGCTGGTTGGAGAAGGCCCTCTCCCAGCGCAGGGTATTGTATCTGGGGGGTGGTGTGCCAGGCACCTGGGCCCCCGGGGCTGGAGGCAGGCGTAAGGCAGAGGTGAAAGTGGGCAGGTCGTCGTCTACATCCAGGGCCGGGTTGTCCTGGCCCTGCTGCCTAGCCGGAGGAGCCTCGGGACCCAAGGGGGCCTGCTTCTGGGCCCACCATTCCTTGGCTTTCTGCCACTGGCGCCGGGCAATGATGGAGAAGGAGTCAATGAAGAACACCTCGATGATCTCGATGACGCAGACGACGGAGCAGCTCATCCACAGGCCCAGCTGGCCACCAAAGTTGGACAGCAGCATCTCGATCTGCAAGGGAGGGCATGCCCCACCATCGAGACGGACCCTCCCCTTAGTTGGCCTCCCGCAGGGATTCTGCTCCGGGACTGGAGCTCCCGCCTGGTCTTTGGCTTCAGGAGGTAGCTGTACGGCCTTGCTTCTCAAGGTCATGTCCCAAGGGCTCTGAACAAGCTTGGGGGGGAGCAGCAGAGAGGCCCCCTGTCCCTTCTCCCTCTGCTGGTTCGGTCCTGCCTTGGGGCCCCTGGCTGGCTTCTCGGGGCCTCAGTCGTTCAGGTGGGATCCCCATAAACTGACTCTGCTCCCCAAGGCCAGGAAGACGGGCACCTCTGTAGACCCAGGACAGGTCCCGGAAGGACCCCACTCACACTGTTGGCCGGGCTCTCCATGATGGATCTCTGGTTCAGGTCTTTGTAGAATATCAGGAGTTTGGCCAAATCCGTCCTGCAGAAATTCCAACAGGTAGGGCACACGCAGGTGGGTTGGCCGCCTTGGCATTCTCCCAGATGCCCAGCCCCTCCGGCCCTGGCCCTCAGCTTGGCCCAGGCTCTGAGCCCCCTGGGGATGTCAGAACCTGGTCCGTGGGGCCTTCTGGTATACCCCAGCATGTATCTGCAGCATGGATCTGCTCCCAGACCATTCATTCGCTCAAAAGCTATTTCCCAGTCTCCAGATTAAGTGGGTTCCTCCAGCCACACTCCCGTGGCACCCTGTTCTCCAGTCAGCTTTGACATTGGTAATTGTTTAATTACAATCTCAAATGCATAGAGGAGACGAGCAAGTAATGTAAATGAACGAGGTACTGTGTTGCCAGGCCCTATCGTTAAGAACTTCATGTGAATTAACTCAAATCTCTATGAGGCAGGGAGGTATGTTTTAACCATCCCCCATTTTACAGATGTGGAAACTCAGACACAGATTCACTGACTGGCCCAAGACTGCACAGCTAATCCTGGTCTAAGCCAGTATTCAAACCCACACAGATCTGCCTTCAAGTTCGTTTTTTTGTTTTTGTTTTGTACCAGGGATTGAACCCAGAGGTGCTTATCCACTGAGCCACATCTCCAGCCCTTTTAAAAATATTTTATTTAGAGACAGGATCTCACTGAGTTGCTTAGCACCTCACTAAGTTGCTGAGGCTGGCTTTGAACTCAAAATCCTCCGGCCTCAGCCTCCGGAGTTGCTGGGATGATAGGCATGCACCACGACACCTGTTGGCTTGAATTCATGCCCTTAGCCACTGATCGAAGTTGTCTCTTGATAAGGCTGCTGAACTGGAAGATCCCTGCTCTTTTAAAAGAAGCCGCTATTACTTAGCCACAAGGTGCTATGCAAGAGTGGAGATTCACTGTTGCCAGAATTTTTTTTTATCTTTCAGGAAAAGCTAGAAATAATGGGGTACTTGTATAGGGCTAGACTTGGCCTAGGGGGCACTGGTGTACGATGCTTTGTTAATGGTTTGGAAATGCTTGTTTAAAAGCCTATCACTAGACTTAGTGGCAGAAACCGTGGCTTCGTGGTCTCCAGATTGTTGGGGGCCAAGGGAGCAGACCAGAGCTGGGCACTGGGAGGCAGTGACAACAAGTGTCACAGGGCCTGAGTGACAGAAGTGAGCTGCCTCTCTCCCTTCTTTATCTCCATCTGCTGAGATTTTTCCTAAAGCTCCCTCAGAAATGATGTGTGTGTGTGTGTGTGTGTATGTGTGTGTAAGATTCAAAAAGAATTAGAAGCTACAAGCTTCCAAGGAAATGGTTTTCCAAGTGGGTAGGAATACATTGGTAAGCCACGAAATAAATGCACGGGGCTGTGACCAATACCTTTCACAAACTAAAGACAATGGGAAACATCAGAATGCATTCAAAGGAATATTCAAAATATTTGCCAACTGAGATACATAAGACTTACAGAATCAGATTAGCACACTGTGACCAATTGGGATGGAAATACTCTTGGCCCTCCCTCTGAATCTGTGGGTTCTGAATCTGAGTAGTCCATCAACCACGGGTGGAAATTTTCAGAAAAAAAAAAATTGCATTTGGATTGAAACGTACAGACAATTTTCTGTGGTCATTATTTTTCCAAACAATACGATAGAACAACAATTTACGTAGCATTGACAGTGGATTAGGCACCATGAGTAGTCCAGAGATGACTTCAGTGTACGGGAGAATGCGGTGGGTCATATGCAACTCCCATGCCATTTTACATAAAGCACTTGAGCATCCCAGGATTTGGGGATCTACGGAGGCAGTGGGGGTCCTGGAGCCAATTCCCCGGAGGGTACAGAAAGAGGACTGTACTAATCGGTTCGGCCACACACCACCGTGTATCATCTGAAAACCAGCCCCAAGGCTTCTAGAGCATAAGGAAGCTGTCTTTATTTCAGCGATATGTTCAATGAGCCACAATGCAAAAAAAAAAAAAAAAAAAAAAAGTCTTTCATACCCGGGATCACGGTCCAACAACAGTTTGAGCAGGGCCTGGTTCATGATATGAGCTTAACAAATATTTGTTGAACAAGTGATTGAGTGAATGAAAGGCAGAGGGCTTGGCCAGGAGGAAGGCAGCCAAGAAGCTTGTGCCCTCGGCCGACGGAGGCAGAGGAAACCGGGTGGAGGTCAACTTACTTGTTGAACTTTTTGTTTATTTGTTGGCTTTGGTCCCAGTTGAGGACAGGCAGCAACCATTTCTGTGTTGGAGAAAGAAAGAGAGTGGCTCTTGGGGATGCTTCGCTTGCCCCTTCCCTTCTCAGAAATCCCCCTTTCCCTGGACTCATCGAGACAGCTCCTCCCCCAAGTCACCCCCCAATCCCCCCCTCCCCCGTCCCAGACCACAGCAGTGGACAGCAGGGAGGCTTGGCTGGGAGCTCCCAGGAAAGAGCAGGCAGTGGGATTTACCTCTGAAACTTCTGATGGCCACTGTGCCAGACTGGTGGTCAGGGTCCATTCCTTAAAGCTTAGGGGAGGAAGGGACAGAGTGGGCGTGGGTGACCCGGTCCACTTGCCCATCCCATCCCTCCCGGTAGGTCCACTCACCTGCAGGTTTCTCGACACACCGACTGGCAGCCCAGCTCTTCTTGGACAAAGGCCTGGTACAGCTGGTAGTAACAGTACACTAAGGGACAGGGTAGAAAACGGCATATGAACGTTGGGGGCCACAGGGCCCTTCCCGGGGTCTTTGAGTTGCCCGTGGAGTTCCCACAGTCTCACGTTGATCGTTTGATTATTTCATTTGGTCCTTAATTGGGAAGCATAGTGTAAGTCAAGCTCGACAACAAGAGCTAAAACTTCAGTTCAGACGTGGGCGACTTCCCCCGAGCCCAAGGCAGCGGGGCGGGGAGCGTCTCGGGGCAGGTGGGTGCAGGGCTGGGGTGTGCCAGACTGGGGTGGGTCACACTCACTCCAGTTAGGGTGCTGCTGGTAGTTGCAGTAGCTGGCGGCCGGAGGCAGGGGCTTGCTGTACTGGGCACACCCACATTTCTCCACCATCTTTGTCTGGAAGCAGGAGTAAAGGCAGATCTGGAAGAGGAGACCCAAAGACCCCTGAAACTCCCTGCGTGTTGGACGCCAGGGAGCCCCCTCCTCACCTCATCGCTCATCCTGGAGGACCAGCCTCCCGCACCCGTGACTGACTGTGCCAATGTACCCTCTTGGGCCAACTGGGCCAGGGGTGGATCCCTGAGTCCACAGGGACAGAGCCTGGGACATTGACTGGGAATTTGGAATGAGACCCGGAAACCAGGTTGAGCTAGGGCTCATCCAGGTACCGACCCAGGTAAATGTGGGAACTGGAGCCGTTGCCAAGGAACAGAGAGAAAACAAACACAGACCCAGCAAGTCCCATCCCAGGTCCAACCCCTCTCCACGCTGGATCTTTGGGGATCATAAGTCACCACAACATCCAGGAAGTGTGTGATATAAAGGCTTGACGGCAGGGGCTCGAAACCCAGGCTTTTATTTGAGTTTGGATCCTAGTTTTGCTACCTACCTGCTGTGTGGCCCTAGGCAAGTCACTTGACCTCTCTCTGATACTTTGCTTTCAGGTATACAATAATACCTACCCCATGAGATTAAAATGAAATGAAACAATCAGATAAAGTGCTGGTACACAGTTGCTTATCATTAAATCTTATCCAGGAACATCTTTCCAATGAGCTCACCATTTTTTTGTTGTTGTTGCTGCTATTTGGCCTTAAAGTCCATTGGATTGCGTTTCTGTTTCTTTAGCAGGTGCCAGGGATTGAGCCCAGGGGTGCTTAAACACTTGAGCTACGTCCCCAGCCCAGTTTTAATATTTTAAGACAGAGTCTCACTAAGTTGCTTGGGGGTCTCCCTTAAGTTGCCGAGGCTGGCTTTGAACTTGCAATCCTCCTGCCTCAGCCTCCCGAGCCACTGGGATGACAGGTGTGTGTGTGTGTGCCACCGCGCCCGGCTGACCGGTCCCTCTTTGACCCAGTGTCTCCACCACCTCTCATCTCCGTCCTGACGGGAGCTGTGTGGAGGGGGACCGGTCCTCTAATTCTCCCAGGATGATTTCCAACGGACCTTCTAAGTATCCCAGTAAGAGGCCGGTTGCAGACTCCCTGGATGGGAGATGAGGCCACACACGTCACTGCTGTCACACTCAAGAGTTGGCAACCCTAATGCCTGCAGAGGTCAGTGATGTTCCTCATACCCTAGACGGGGTGAGAGCTGCGGAGCCCGGAGAATGCCTGGCTCCTTTAACAAGGCTCCCCCACTTTCTATGCTGCAGGAATATGGGCTCGATGCTGCCAGATGGCCTCATTTCCAAGGTCAAGGGCACAGCTTGGAGGGCTTGGGAGCTGCCCATCAGGCCCCTCAGTAGGACCCCACCTCCTGCTGTGAGTGAGAGACACAAGTGGGCCTGGAAGCCCAGCTGTTGACTCCTCAGCCCTCGTGACCCCCAAACGCTTCTCCTCCTGTCCCTCACTTGCCACGGCCCCTCTGGGAAGCGGGCCCGACTGGCCCGAACACCGTGTTCCTCCCAAACCTCAGTGAATCAATTAAGCTCCAGTTACGGACGCACCGAAGAGGACTGGAACCAGCCGGCATCATTTGTTCTTGAGGTCTCTGGACCAACCCCAGGTGTCCTCGTCGTACATAGTTCCTGGTCCCAGACACACCCCAACCTCGATTTAACTTTGTCCCTTGGGTCCGGGCCACAATCCAGGGCTGGGCGCCCCCCCCCCCCCACCGCCAAGCCCTACCTGGAGGGAGTAGGCTGCGTTGTAGATGTTTCTGACCGGCACGTCACCCCCGTCCTCTGTGCACTGGCTGTAGGGCTCGCTCAGCTTGAAGGACTCGGTCTGCAATCACAGAGACCCAGACGGGGATTGGCCGGCTGCTTCCTGGGGTCCGAATAGCCATCGGGTCGTTCCCAAGATGGAAACGTCCTGAGAGCACCCAGTAGGTGCGTGGGGCCAATGTAGACACCGGGGGACACACAGCCATCGAGAAGACAATTCCCTACCCCACCCAGCTGACGCTCTAGAAGGGTAGACAAGTGGTTAGTAAGCAAATAAATCATGAGCGGGTTTTGCATGTTGATCAACAAAACTGGACAGGGAGACGGCAGAGCGGGAGCAGGGGTAGGGGACACAGTCTTTCCCACAAAGCGATTAGAGAAAGTGTCTCAGAAAGGGACCTTTATGATGTTGTCAGCTCAATGCGGAAATGATGACAAGAAGGAACTGGCCTTGTCAAGAAATGGGGGAAGAAGCCGGGCGTGGTGGCGCACGCCTGTCATCCCAGTGACTTGGGAGGCTGAGGCAGGAGGATCCCGAGTTCAAAGCCAGCCTCGGCAACTTAGTGAGGCACTAAGCAACTCAGTGAGACCCTGTCTCTCAATAAAATACAAAATAGGGCTGGGGATGGGTCTCCGTGGTTAAGTGCCCCCTGGGGGAAGAGGCCTGGGCGGAGAAAGCAGCAAAGATTCGAGACAGGAGGGGACAGTGTGGCTGGAACGTGGGAAAAGAGAGACGTGGCTGGAGATGGAGTCAGAGAGGGAGGGAGGCCGGGCCGAATTACTCCCTACTAGAAACCGGGATTTGGGCCTTCTGAGTGGTGGCTAGCCACGGGCGAATGTGCTGGGAGAGGATGCGGAGGGTGGGGGATTGAAGGCATGAGCAGGGTCTGAGAGCTGCCTGGGACTCCTGTCCCTCTAGCTCTGGGTTGGTGACCAGAAAAGAGTTGACGTAGAAAGGGCCAAGAAAGCCCAGCCGTGTAGAACGACGCCCTGGTCATCAGAAGAGGCAAAGGCTCTTCGATGCGAGGTTCAAAACCCTTATTCAGCAGGGCACAGCGGCACACGCCTGTAATCCCAGTGACTTGGGAGGCTGAGGCAGGAGGATCGTGAGTTCAAAGCCAGCCTCAGCAATTTAGCAAGGCCCCCAAGCAACTCATATATAAATATTATAAAAATATATATTTATATTTTGTAAAATATAAATCAGGGCTGGAGATGTGGCTCAGTGGTTGAGCACCCCTGGGTTCAATCCCTGGAACCAAAAAAAAAAAAAAAAGTCAACAACCCAAACCTATCCATTCTAATTTATTGTGGTTCACTGAGTTTGACTCTAGCTTCATATTTGGCACTGCAAATAAACAACCCAGGCAAGCCGAAAAGGGAGAGCAAATAAGACAACAGGGGAGGGGATGGCTTCTCTTGGGGGGGGGGGGAGAAAACACAAATAGAGATGGTGCCCGGGCCGTGGCGAGGGTCTAGGCTGTGCGTTTGCAGACAGAGGGAGGAGGGTTAAAGGAAGGAGGATGGCGGATTCGTAGGTGGGAAGAAAATGCTTTTCTCTATGAAGAAAGAATGATAATTAGGCAAAACCAGGAGAGGAGGCGTCTGACCCAGGTGGAAACAGACATCTGAAGAGGCCGGGATCTGGTTCTGTGTTTGCCTTGTAATTCACCTGCTGACCCATTAGTCTCCCTCAATTAACTGTAAGGGCCTCAGGGGCAATTGAGAGTGCTCATTTTGAAATGTTTAAATAACAAACAGAAGCCCGGAGGAAAGGCGCTGGCTGGCCTCTCGGCCTTCCCAGGGTCCCCGAGGTTGGAGAGAAACAGGCAAACGTCCACCCGTTCACTCTCCCTTGCAACCTGTCCTTTTTGCTACCGATAAGGAGCTTCTTTCCAGGCCAGTAAGGAATACACAGACCGAATCGCTGGGTAGCAAACCCATTGAGAGCTTCTCGTGGGCCAGGGCTGGGCTGGGAACAAAGATGCTGAGATGCAGAGATGCGGAGCAGGGGCTTCCCCCCAGGGCACCTCGGTTCCCCACTTGACCCCGAGAACCAGCTCAGGGATCCCTGTCCAGAAACCGTCTGAAAAAAAAATCATTTTAATTTCTGTTTTCCAAGGACTCATTGGCCTTTTTGACTCTACAGTGATGCTTTTGGAACTTGGAGGTCATGGTTGGTTCAGGTTGAGGTTACCAAGGGTGGATCGAAAGGGGACAGAGGGGGCTGGGGATGTAGCTCAGCTGGCAGAGTGCTTGCCTTGTATGCACAAGGCCCTGGGTTCAATCCCCAGCACCACCACCAAAATAATAATGATAATAATAATAAATAAATAAAGAGGGGGTGAGGACAGAGCTTTTCTGGGTGGAAGAGAGGTCTTTAACTCCTCCAAGACTCCACTGAATGAACTCTCCAGAGCCTGGACACTCCCACCTCCAACTCTGTTTTCCACAAATGCTAGTTTGTGGAGGGCGGGGCCATGTTTTGGCTTCTGCCCTGACCCCTAGGGGCATTAAGTCAAGAGCAGGTGCATATGAATATGCACAAGTTAAGTGTGTATACATGTGTATTTATGTGCATCTGGAGTGTGTATTTGCACACGTGTGTGGTGGATGAGAAGGTATGTGTGCATTTATACATGTGAGAATATGCGGGGCGTAGGATCCATTTTTATCAAATCGAGTCCTAAGGAGAGAGAGACAGTTGCCCGGGAATCCTTAGCTCTCCTCTTTGAAGACAGAGGATAGGGCTGGGTCTGGGGGACAGCACAAAGCCGGAGGGGTGGAGCAGCGGAGGGTGAGGAGGGTGGGAGAGCCTGGTCCTGCCTTCCCGCAACATTGAGGGGCCACTGAACAGCGTGCCGCTCCCTCTTCTGGGAGGTGGGCAGCTCAGCCAGGCTCCTCTCAGGGATATTGTTTTTATCTCTTGGTGGTAACCACCATCCCGACCGTCTCCGACTGTGCCTCACCACAGCCCAGCGGTCCTCAAGCTGCCCCTTCTGCGTCCTGCTTTAGGGCTCACAGAGGTCTGAGCTGTGAGCAGGCTGCTCTCCCAGGCTCAGACCAGAGCACACCCGCATTTCTGTTCCCACCAAGTACATTTCCAAGCAAGGCTTCCTGTGAGTGCAAGACCCTCCTAACAGCATAAGGGACACCTTTGCTCCTTCCAGCCCCCGAGGGCATGACAGAGATGCCTACGGACCCCAGTCAAAAGGCCAAAACGGTGCCCTGAGCTGCGCCTAGAGCAGGAGCCCTGGCCTTGCTCTGAATGCAGATGAGGATGAAGGTCCCTTCTTGGCCTGGCTGCTTCTGACAGCAGCGATAGTGGGGCTGGGGAGGGAGCAGTGGGTGGTCTCCACCTGTACAGGCCTGGAACGGACGCATTACTGAGAAGGCTCCGGCTGCTTTAGGTCTCCAGTTGTCTCAGAGGCATCTCCTGGTTCCATCCTGTCTCCTCTGACCATAGGGAGTTGGATTCTGAGCTCTCCTAAGGAGCGCTCTGGAAGAGCCACGTCATGGTCAGTGTTATAGTCAATGGTCAATGGCAACAGTACCAGGCAAGTAGCTAAGGAGTCAGAAATACAGGAGGAGGCTGAGCGCCGAGGTGCACACCTGTAATCCCCCGGGAGGCCGAGGCAGAAGGAATGCAAATTGGAGGCCAACGTCAGTGAGTTAGTGAGGCCGTGTCTCAAAATTAAAAAAAAAAAAAAAATGAAAAGAACTGAGGATGTAGCTCAGTGGTAGGGCGCCGCTGAGCTCAATTCTCAGTATAAAAAATAATGATCATCAATAATAATACACGGGGCTGGGGCTGGGGCTCAGTGGTAGAGTCCCCGCCTTGTATGTGAGAGACCCTGGGTTCGATCCTCAGCATCACATAAAAATAAATAAGTGAAATAAAGGTATTGTCTCCAATTACAACTAGAAACTAACTAAATAAATTTTTTTTAAAATTAATAATACAGGTCGTGCCTTCAAATAATTCAGTCGCACGGAGCTGCCTTTGATCAGATTACTTGGCCGGCCTGAGCTTCCGATTCTCCAGAACCACCATGAATCCTGATTGAACACTTACAATGTTCTTATGATAAGTATCTTACATCTATCGACTCATTTAACCTCAGCGGCAGGTCTACTTTACGGGAGAGGAACATGAGACACAGAGAGATAAGGTAACTTGCTCAAGGCAATAATGGCTGGTGAGAGAGAGAAAAAGAGCCGGGATTCAAACCCAAGAGGTCCCCCTCTCAACTCCTGCACCCTAAGCACGACTGTGAGGACCCTTTGAGCCTCATGCCTGCAAAGTGCTCAGCACGGGGTCTAGCCCAAAGCAAGAGCCCTACGGAGGCTCATTTTAATGATTAAAATAGGTGTATCTTCCACTCCTGCCCTCATGCACTCCCAATAGAGCAACAGGAATGACGGATGTCCCCAAGTCTGTCCTCCAGCCAGAGTCTTCCTGTTGAGACCCAACTGACCACCGGTCATTTGTTTACTTCGGTGGTTCATGCATGCCTTAAACACACCAAACTCCGTGGGCATTTGCAAAAGTAACCAGATTCTGTGATTCCATAAAAGTCTAGTTTCTACCACTTGACTCTGGACTCTCGTCCTATGACTTTGGCTGCTGGACTATTAAGAAATAAACCCTTGAAAAGTGTTTGCTCATTGGAACTTGCCTTCCCGTACAGGATCTGGACCAGCATGAACAGGCCTGAGCCAGCAGGTTGGGGTGAGAGACCTGGTAGAGGAGATGCAAGGTGGCCCCCAGACACAGAGATGGACCTCACACGCCACCCTGAGTGAGCACTGGTCCAGATCGGCTGAGCCTGGTCCAGATCAGAAAACCCGGCCAGACGAACCAGCCCCACCCACGTGGCTGACCTACAGATTGGGAGTTAATAAATGGTTGTTGTTTGAAGCCATTTAGTTTTGGGGGGTGGCTTGTACCCAGCAAAAGCTAACCGAGGACGGGATGTCTAAAACCGGACTCACCTAAAACCTCCTCCACCCACCACCAACCTGCTCCAGCTCCTGTGTTTCTCACACTAGCCGATGACA